CTCTCTAGCCTGAAGATGTCTACAGGCGTCTGTTTAAGGTTAACATTAAACCTATAAAAAATGTAATGCTTCTTGTTAGGTTCTCCTAACATAATGAAGGCAGATGAGAAGTCTCCCAACCCTCAAACGCTGAAGGCCACGAAGAAAGAACCAGAAGATCGGACTCAGGGCTCTAAGAGCCCACACAACGGGTGAGTTATTAGACAGATATATCATGCGACCGTCAGTCAGATACTTGTTTTAGTTCAATTAAAAAGCACTGATTAATCAATCTTCCTCCTCGTTCTTTCCTCAGACTCAGGAAGGAAAGTAAGTTAGGTCGGAACAGTCGGAGTGCAAGTCGTTCTCGTTCCAGAACGAGATCCCGGTCCAGATCTCGCTCGCCCAGACGACAGTAAGTACCGTTTGCAGTGCGCTGCTGTATGCTCGATGATGTTCGTGTCTGTACTCAATTGTTGCCTTTTCTTCTAGTTACAATAACAGGCACAGTCACTCAGGCACCTACAGCTCTCGCTCCCGAAGCCACTCTCACAGCCGCAGCCAATCACCCCGGCGACACGCCAACCACGGCCCTCCGTCTCCTCTCCTGCCACACTTGAAATCAAAGCAGCGCTCAGACGATCTGCACCAGCACAGCAGACACGGCCACAAAAGGAAACGGTCGCGCAGCCGCTCTCGTTCCACCAGCAAGCCCCGTGAGCGGGACAGAGAGCGAGAGAGAGAGCGGGACCGGGATCGAGGTGCCTCTGACCTGGCGAAGAAGCACAAGCACGAGCGAAGCAGCGGCGGCCATCACCGCGACCGGCGGGAACGCTCGCGCTCGTACGAACGCTCTCATAAAAGCAAACACCACAGCAGCAGCCATTCAAGCCACAGTCGACACAGACGCTGAGTGTTTTCTTTGTTACACGTCTGCAAGACTGCGAGTTCGTTTGTGTTCCATTTAACTGGTCAACGTTGACCTAGTTGTCTGTTTTACTTTCTTGATTTCTTTTGTGTTATTTTGGTGTTTCAGTTTTAAATGTTGAAAGGATATGAAACTACATATTTACAGTGTAAAGATGGGTTCAATGTTGATGTAATACGGGAAATGCTTTGATTTATAAAAGCAAAGGTGGGAAAATCAATAGTTGCATTGAAAAATGGAAAATGTTTTCAGGAAAGACAACGATACCTTGCACAGATATAGGAATAACAAATAAAGACGCTCTTCTGATGGATGGAAATTGGTTACTCTGAAAATAGATCATATTTTTTTACAGTTGGATGCAGACTTTTTTTGGGGGGGGATCATGGTGACTTTGTTGCACTGGTTTTTAGTCTGCACGTCTTCAATGTCTGATTTTTACTCAATAAAAAGTGACTTATTCCTACTGTCAATTGTTGTTTTTTACTCTGTTTTGGAACTTGGTTTTATGAATTGAAATTGACATTAAAATCCCTTGAGACAGACCAAACCTGTTATGACAAAATTATATTTATCACACCAGCACAAACGGCTAATATCTCGAGCTGTGGTGTTAAAAAATTTGATTGATTTTAGTATATTAGCTTATCATAAATGTGTTTTTTCTCTTATACGTAGGAGATAATAACATTTCATTACGAGACAAACTAAATGAGCTCAAAATCTCAAGGATTATTAATGAAAACAAAGAAAAAAAAAATACGATTTTAAACATGTCTAATGAAGAGCAGTGTTTTGTGTATTTAATCTTGCAAGTGATCTATTTATTTTCTTTTAACAAGTGCTTTTTGAGGCACTAAAGGGAACTTAGTTTAGTTTTTTCCAAACTTGAGTTTGTACCTGGATCTCAAGTGCTCCTGGGTTATTTATGACTATCTTTCTTGTGTTAGTGCTTACATTATCAAAAGTGTCTTGTGAAATAGATCACTGTGCATTCGACAACCAACTTACTTTCATTTGAGAGATCTTCGTTTCAAGCCTGTCTTAACATCAAGATGGCTGACAGCCTTTGTCCTTCCTTAGTGACTCTTCCTTAGTGAAAGCTTGTGTGTTTTGTGATGTGTTCCTTTACATCAGACACCCCTGATTCTTTATTTTTAGAAATAAAATGTATTTGTTGTGGGCTTTATGGATTTATGTGTAAAATGGGAACTGCTTTAAGCTTGTGAAAGGTTGAAACATCACCTTATTTTGCTGGACATATTGTTACCAACAGGAAACTTGGAAGACAGGATGTATCTCGCCTCTTTTTAGTTATGCAACAAATCAGGAGTCATTTGCATTCTGAGTCACTAATGTGATTGTGAAATATTCTCTCTTTTCTCTGTAAAGCTGTAAAGGCCAAAGGAGAATAGCTACAGAGGTTTCAATGTTAAATCTGTGCCATTTTCGTTTAACCTAATCATTATACTGCTTTTATTTCCTAACATGATAAACTACTACTTGAATTGTTAAGATGAGTTGAGCAGTTTCAGGTGGGTCAAATGCATGGTCAAATGTGGTGTCGCTCTGTAAGTGGGTTTGAAGGACTAAACTACTACATGGTGTCTGTAGACTTGTTACTAATAGTATGATGTAGAAACTAATGTTTGTAAATAGGAAACCCGTGTATAGATCAGTTGTCGCCATCTACTAGCGTAAAGAGTCACTGAAAAAAAAAAACAATGACACACCAAGACAAATTTTCAGTGCGATAAACGGCTATAATACGTAAGACCAATGCAAAAATTTGCATGTCGTCAGTTTTATGTTTTATCCATGGAAAAGTCCATAGAAAACGTTGTGAATTGTATAAATAAATAAAAATTATTTTAAAGATATAGGCTACTTACAGTATAGTAATAGTAATGTTCACGGTATAAATTAATCATTTAACTACATAGCTTCCTTTTAAATTTTGATGAGTTTTGATGAGTCCCTTGCATGAGAATGATCATATTTGAAGTTTGACCTTTAACCCTGTAATACCTGTGGTGGTAAAATACAACATCACTTTTAGCTCTTCCCACATCTGCAATTTTTTTTTTTTTTTTTGAAAGACTACATTTACATAGCCAATGGGTCCTATTGTTTAGCCTCACAATGTCATTGGATAGTAAATGTGTATATAGGTCTTGCCATGAGGCCATGAACTCATTCAACCTACAATCTTTCCTGGAATTGAATCTCCTTGTTTCATTGGACTGGATTTCTCAACATTGAAGTAAGTGAAATCCTAGAAATAAATTTGTTTTTGTGTGATTGTTAGAATGTCTAGTTCATGCTTGGTTATTGTGGAATGAATGCATCAAATTAAGTTTTTTTAGCTTGTTATGTGTTTGTTGATTTTTTCAATATTGGTAGAAAATGGTAGTGAAATAGCACTTGCACCTTGCACATTACATCGAGACATGGCAGCTCTTAAATGTTTATACTTACAGAAATACAATTAATGTGATTATTCACAATGTCTAAATGTGTTATTTGTTATAATGTTCAGTTTTGATCAGATATGAATCATTCTAAATGAATAAATTATTTCTGGTTGCAATGTTTTAAGTCCTCATAGTACCAGTATTTGAAATTGTTCATGTATGTTAGCAGTAAAATATAGTTAAATTATCTGGGCTTTGTTTGTTTGCCCAAATATCTGCTTGTTTGTGGAGTGCTTTGGAGGATGGTTATTCAAGGACAGGTGTGAATGTCCAGACATAGGGGGTTGCATGGTCCATTGTTCAGGGACAGGTGTTAGTGTTGATGGACAAAAAAAGCCAAATGAACTTGGAATGTCAGATGATGTTGTGATGAAGCTTGCTTCCACACTTCCAGAAGGTCAGAACTACAAGGTCTTCGCCGACAACTTCTTCACCTGTGTCCAATTAGTAGTTCAGCTCCTTGATCATGGACTTCATTTTGTGGGAACAGTCAGGCAAGAGCGCTTACCCAACAACTGTAACCTTGAAGATGAGAAGATCTTGAAGAAAAAGGGGAGAGGAAGCTTTGACATCAGAGTAGAGGCAAACCACAACATCTGTGCGGTCAAATGGTATGACAACAGGGCAGTATCATCCTTTGTCCTTTCACACTTGTATCATCCAATGCTGGCACAGAACCTGTCCAAAAGATTCAATGCTGGAACAAAGCCACCAAATCATTGAAGTTGAGAGACCTTACATTGTGGATGCATACAACATACATGGGCGGTGCGGATTTGTTGGACTCATTTGCAGCCAAATACAAGTTCCCCATGAAAACGCGCCGCTGGTACATTTACATCTTCTGGCACACCATTATCCTTGCTGTGATCAACGCTTGGCTCCTTTACAAACGGGACTAAAGCTCTCAATATTCCCAAGGAAAAGATGCTAAGCAGGAGGCTGTTTCAGGGACAGCTAGCATCCTCTCTCATCCTGGTATCTGCTCTTTACCACATTTAATATTTGACTGATTATACCGTTTCAATGTATGTTTGACATTGCAATTGATTCTTTTCTAATCAAATTCAGACAAACACAGCAAGGAGAGGGCGGACATCATCAGCCAGTAGGAGCCCTGTGACGTCTATACCTCAGAAACCTGTGACTGCTCAGAGAAGGCCCTCCTCAAGTCCACCAAATGAGATCCCAGCCAAGAGGTCATGTGAACCACCAACGGATGTGCGTAGGGACATGGCCGCACATTTCCCAGTGAAGACAATGAGAGGACGCTGCAGACACTGCAAAAAAAGGATATTTGAATTATGCTCTGCAGGAAGTGCAATCTCTGTCTCTGCTTTTCAGAGGAAAGGAACTGCTTTTGGGACTACCATTGCAAGTGAACACTGGACAATGTTTCTTTGACAGTTTTCAATCTGTTTTGTATATTTTATGTTTATTTTTAATACATTTTTATTAATTCAAATATGACTGTTGGGTGATTTATTTTTATTTTTATTCATGATATTTAGTGTAAGCAATCCACACTTCAATCGAGCCCTTAGTATGTAATCATAGACTGTAAAAAAAAAGATGCTAATTAACAGAATAGCCTGCCTGAAGACGAGGATGAGAGCTTTTACTTTGACAGGCTTATGTATTTAATGCGGTAGTTTCCTGTTAGCTTCTGAGGTTTTGCGAGCAGACTGTGCGGGATGGAAATGAGGTGTTTAAGTCTTCTACTGGTCTGTGTGCTGTCAGTGTGTCATGCTACAGCCGAAAATGCCAGCGTTAAAAAGATGAAAATGCAATATACTGGAATGCCACTGCTGAAGTTTCAGATTTGGTAAGCAAATGGAATGTGCTTCCGTTTCCTGTCAGTGCGCGTGCTGATGTTATGTGTTGATGAAGCAACTATTTAATCTAAACTGAAATTATGTAGCCAGTATACATTAAATTTGGATCATGTATGTTTCCTATTAGTTTTCTCTGTCTATCTGAGCGTAATTTCCCAGTAGCCTATGTATCAATTTGCAAAAAGCAAGTTTTTTAAAAAAATACCATGTAATTAAATAATTACCATTTTAATATGTAAGTTTTAGTATACATATTGTTTATATGACATTACTCTCCTTGGTTTTTCAGGACAAAACAACAAAAACACCTTCATAGCATTAGTAATTCCTATTTTTGTACCGTTAGCAAACGGAAGTAACTGTTAGCACACAACTAAGTTAACCCTTACGAATTATTAACCATGATTTTACTATGATTTTTTATTTATTTATTGTAGGAAAACCAAAGTATCTATAAAATTAACTATGGTTTTGTAGTAAAACCATGATAAACACAAAACTACATTTTTTACAATAGTAAGTGTACTTTTGTCGCTCAACGGTTTTTTGTTGGGTATGAAGCTTGTTTTCGCAATGGAATAAAAAAAAGGTAGTTATTACTTTTTATTTTACAATTTAATTTTTATTTGACTTGTGAATTAATATCCAACAATTCTGACTTTTTTTCTCAGAATTGTGAGATAAAAAAGAATAAAGAATGATATAAACAATTGTGAGATAAAATGTTTTACCTTTTATTTTTTATTCTGTGGCAGAAATAAGCTTTCATAATCATGCGAGCATATGTGAACCAGTTCATTGGGTTTATTTTTCGGTGGGTCAGTTCCTTAATTCAGTGCCTCTCAATTTGCAGTGTGTCCTGAGGTTACAGGCGGGTGTTTGAAGAGTACTCTCGGGTTCTCACCCAGAGGTACCCAGACATCCGCATCGAGGGAGAAAACTTCCTGCCCCAGCCTATATACAGGTGGGTTATTCTCACGCCCAAGAAGTTTTGTATGTAGACCATACAAATTCATGGTAGTCTGTGACTTTAATTACTCATTAACTTGTCTTTTTTATTTATTTTTAGGCACACAGCTTCCTTCCTCTCTGTCTTCAAATTTGTAGTGATTGGTTTAATTATCCTGGGCAAGGACCCTTTCACATTTGTCCGTACGGATACTCCCGGAATCTGGCTTTGGGCACAAGAGAATAAGGTCAGTGAGGGGCATTTTTGGGGTGCATATCAATTCCTGTTGAAAAATTTCATATTATATTTGGGAATATAGTAACTCATTTGCCAATAATTGCATAGTCCTGGGATATCCCTTTTTTTCTCTTTTAATTTGTCTGGATTCTGCTCTTTTCGGTTTTGAACATAAGAATATAGTATCAGTTTTTTGTAAGTGTGGTTGTTTCTACTTTTTTTTTTTCATTCGTCTGTTAAAAAGTTTGTTGCGTAGCGTTCACGCACAGTCTTTCCCCATAAGAACCCTTGATAACAATGTAATAGAATTAAACCTTTAGTTCATTAATTGAATGTTTGGGAAATCTGCTATTCAGTTGTATTTGGTGATGCTAGTGATTCAGAAATTACAGTTCCCACGTGAAATGTTGCCTACTACATGTGTTTGTGACCTCAGTTTGTTGTGTTTTTATAGATATATGCCTGCATGATGGTGTTCTTCCTCAGCAACATGATTGAAAACCAGTGTATGTCCTCTGGCGCCTTTGAAATCACACTTAATGGTAGGACTGATGATTGATTATTGATCAAAATACTGATTTCACACTACATGATGTTTAATACTAGTCATTTTTACCTTGCCTGTGTGTGTATGTGCTCACAGATGTGCCTGTATGGTCAAAGCTGGAGTCAGGCCACCTACCCTCCATGCAGCAGCTGTTGCAGATTTTGGAGAATGAGATGAAGCTGAGCGTACACATGGACTCTCTCCCCCACAGACGGGCGTAAGGCTGCAGGAACTGAACAGACCGGCTGTAATTTGTGGGTAGCCTGATGGTTTTTACGCCACCGTGAATAAAGTGGTGCAGGGATGATGTGTTTCTGTTTGCCAAAACCCGGTTTTGGGTTAGCATTTTAGCACTTCAGGTTCCATCGTCCCGAACTCAATGTGTTTTTTTTTTTTTGTTTTGTTTTTTTGCAATGATTCAAACCCCTATGGAAAAATCCTATTGGGTTTTTGTTGAAGTAACCAGGCTGATGCTAATTGCTGGGTTTATATACAAAAATACATAATCCCTGCACCACTCTATTAAGATCTATTAAGATTATTTTGAACCTCTTACAACACTTATATCTTTTCCCCTCTCTCTAACTTTTTCTCCAGGTGTGTGATGTGTGTCATTGGTGTGCGAGACGGCATTAATGAAGGTTTGCACTGAATGCAGTGTCTCTGCTAGTGCAGGCTGGATGTCCAGTCCCTCTCGCTGCTCCATGAGTCTGCTGTACACACACAGCCGCTCTGCAGTCTTCGGCCAATAAGAACGTGTGCTGTTAAGTTGCAACAAAAATTGGTGTCAAATACAGTGTTTTACCTGTTTTCAGGTGTATGCAGTAGACTGCTGTATTAATTACTGAAATCAGTTTCACAGTCTTGGTGTACATTGGGAAATTATTAAGAAACTATGTCTAATGTGTTTAGAACTACAAACTGTATTTAATTTTGCTCACTCATTTTATTGACCCTTTCATCTCTGTTTATATGGTAATATGCAAATGTATTCATTCCACTGATGTTTATGCAATGTACGTTCTAGACAACGGTATTCTTTAAAAATAGTTCTGGAAATTTATCATCAAGGATGTACTTTGATACAGTTAGATTTTTTTTTTAATCATATTTAATATTTGCTTGTACTGTGTTTTGAATAAAGTTAATCAATCATGGATGTGTAAACATTTTTTTTAATCGGAAAACTTGCCTTCCACAAGAGGACGCTCGCCCGGTGGCTCAGAAGGCCGAATGCCCTTTGATCGGCATTTCTTATTTAGAATGTATTTTTCCCCCTTTACTGGAGACATTTGTGCATTAAGTGGTGAAATATTTTAAACATATTAATTATAAGGCTTGGCATCCGAAACACAAATCGAAATACTGAAACGATTAAATAAAACGGGTATCTAGTTATCAGAAACGGCTGTGATTGGTTCATCTTCTAGAGCGATGAGAAAAGTAACAGAGCCCACATGAAAAAGCGGCTAATCACTTCAACGGCTTTTTGAGGGAGATTGCATAACTTATTTTATTATCATAATATATTATTTATATTATATCACCAATTTTGTGCCAATATTTTTAATATTTTAAACTTTGATTTAAAAAAAAAAAAAAAAAGAATTGTGACTTGTAACTTTTAGGGGACCAAGATGGCGCCCTTCAACAGAGATTATGGTCACATGGTATGCTATCGATGCTTGTGAAGGAAGTTGCGTGAATACACGTGTTGTGAATCGCTATTTAACAATGATTTTTTTGTTTAAGTTTTTGTAGTGAATTTATAATGTAAAAGTCTTGCAGTAGATGAAAGTAATGAAATAACATTCGTGTTCAGACAGCGCGAGGTAAACATCACCCCAGGCATAACGTTAGTTGATTTTGAAATATCAGTGCCATCACTGCAGTTATATTACTTTAATTTTCTTCTTGCAGTGAACCGATGTATCGTATTTACTGTTATAATTCTTGTGCCGATACAAAATGTCGTGTTAAATGCTCTCTCGGAAGCACAGCGTACGCATCATGTGTTGAGTCCAGGTGTGTTATGGAAGAGTAATGGATGGGGATCCAGCAGAGATGAATATGCCACAATCATCATCAAGTATTGAAGTAAAGGATTATATGGATACCAGAAGTGAAAGTGAGAATCAGCCAGCAGGAGATGCTTTGGTGGACATCCACTTTTGCGGATCCACTCCTCTGTTGTGGAAGGTCTCGGACATGAAACGGTGCAGGTCTTTGGGTGTGACCGGGGCTCTGGTGGGCTCTCTGGCCCGTCAGCCTCGCCAAAACGTGCGGCTGGGACGACCCCTGGAGCTCCTGCAGGAGGAGGCATTGCTGCTGGAGGAGACGAGCACTGGTGTCGCTTCACTACACACTCAGGTGTCACACTACACTACTACAGCCACAGATATCTATCTATCTATCTATCTATCTATCTATCTATCTATCTATCTATCTATCTATCTATCTATCTATCTATCTATCTATCTATCTATCTATCTATCTATCTGTTTGTTTGTTTGTTTGTTTGTTTATAGGCCACCCTGTTACAGTTACAAAGATCACAGCAGTTATACCCCTCACCATGGTCTAAGCTATGTCCTCGCTTCAGGTTGAATCATTCTCATTGGCTAAGAAATAGATAAACATAGTAATTTTCCACTCATATACTAGATTGAAGCATATCTCCATCGATTATGTAGCACACTCGGACCCTGAAGTTAGGCACGTCGTGACTCGTGACCTTTCAGGTCGCAGATTTGGGTTGCTAGGTGGCGGGCGCCAGCATGTCCAGATCAGAACAACAACTCATTCAATCTCCAATAATGGCAGTGGTTCCTTAACCTGTAACTAAGCACCGGCACAGCTTTTCCAAGGTTAGATTTGGCCAGGCTCTAACTATAAACAGGAGAGTCGTCTCAAAACATCAAGATAATACGTTCTTTCTCTAAAGGAAATTATACTTTAATCTAACACAGTAAAGTAAAGACTTTAGCCACGAAATGGTCTCTCAAACTATTGATTCCAATGACCCTCTTCAACTCATGTTGAAGACCTTTCTCAAAACAAAACAAGTCCTTATTTCATGTCTGGAAGCCGGGCTTTTTGATGCCTATCTGTTTGTGACTTTTTATCTGAGTGTATGTATGTGTTATTATTTTCATCAGGATTGTGGAGATGAAGAGAAACATTCAGCGGCTGTGAGGCAGTATGAGGCAGGTCTGGAGAGCAGTTATAAGGAACAGTGTGCTCTGGCCCTGGAGGACAAGAAGACAGTACTGAAGAAAATCATCAATGAGAAAGAGAATGGTGAGAGAGAGAGATGCATACCTCATTACATGTCTATATTACTTCACCTGTTCACCTAATGATTTCAGATATTTCAAAAGTCCTTACAGCCTATAACAGCAAAGGATCCACTTCGACACTGACCAAGAATATAAATATAGTGAACAATCAGATAAAAACCGACAAATTATTTCCATGTTTTTTGACACAAAGTTATGTTTTATAATGTACGGAAAGCACATACTCTTTGTAACTCGCAAACACACATATAGTACAGGCACACACTTGGACAGAAGCGTGTTGTCAGTTCTACTCTGATGTTTTTATCAGTAAAATAGTTTAGTAACTTAAAATCTACATGACATTTCTCATTAGTGAGGTCATGGCTCAGTTCTTGAGGCAGAAAAACTTAGTTTTATGATTAGTAGAGACACTGCTGCCGAAACACTGTTGAGAGACGCACCAATTCAGGTAATTCACACACTTTATCTCCCTCTGTCTTGTTGAGGCAAAATTTCAATAAACAGACATCACTGCGTAAGAGACACTCAGAGTCAAATTAATAAAAAGGAAAAAAGGTTTATTATTCTTGCAGTGAAGTGACAGTGAAGTGAAGTGACGCACCGAACACAGGCCGTAGTTCATTCTTATATCTCTCTCAAGGTTATTTACTTCAGGCCCAGCCTTCCCTGTAAAATTCCACAAGTCATAGGACTCATTAGCTGGGTTAGATTTACTGCTGCTAACCCCCTCTATCCTCCCCAGTCTAAGATGACCTTGGACCCGGCCTGATTTCTGGTGCCTCACTCCACTCTTGATAAAGGAAAAACAAATTACCTCCTTCACGGATAGCTAAACCATAAGACATTCCTCCGTTATTACATATAGGAGGTGAACAGATATAAAATATAGGAACATAAGGCCCAATAATCATATGTAATACATGTGAGATTAAAATTTTCCACAACAGTCTCTAATACCGTAATTGCATTACTAACTACATTAGTCTGTAATCAATGGCTCAAGCCTTGTTACTAGCTCTAAAATTATGTTTGGGAATGACTAGCAATGGAGGCATGAGATTATTTATATAGCACTTTTTACAATACAGATTGTTTCAAAGTGGCTTTACAGAGATGACAGGAAAATAATGCAACAAATTTCTAGAAGAAAATGGCGTCACTGCACACCTGTGTTTAAAGGACAAAAACCTGACAAATATCGTGAAATACAACATCTGAACAATGTCTTTCGGTGTGTTAACCATAGTATAAGCGGAATAATTGATGACAGGCCATTCAATTATTAGAAATTAGAAAATAATGCACACCCCATTCAAAGGATCTTCGTCAACTATTCCTTACATTTAAAAAAAAAAAGTGCAGTTACAGTTGAAGTTTAAGGGGCTTAAAATAAACATTAACTCTTTCCCCGCCAGCGTTTTAAAAAAAAGTTGCCAGCCACCGCCAGGGTTTTTGACGATTTTCGCTAAATTTGAATGCCCCCGCTGAATATTTTCTTCCATGAATATATGAAGATGATATATATAAAAATAAAGATCTGAGCCTCTGCTTTTAGGCAAAAAAAACGTTTTTATTTTATCTTCATCTGTTCTTTTTTTATTGCCTCTTGAACAGAGGTAGGTTTTGTCAAAAACACAACATTTTGGACAAAAAACTGAGAAAAAGGTATTTTTATCAAACAAGTGCATTTAAAAGCAGAATACATTCAGATGTTGTTTCCTTCATATATAAAACTTTCCAAAATAAATTAAAAACATAAAATAAATGTAAAATATATCAAATTTCCAGGATGTAAGGGAAATGTAACTTTTGCAATAACACTTCTGCCTCTCTGTGTACCTGTGAATAATGAATAATTGGAATTACAATAAACAGGCCTAGACACACACACACACACACACACACACACACACACACACAATACATATTACAATGTGGTAAATGTGCACAAAGAGAGAAATAATTTGACAATTACACCTTCATATTTAGACAGCCACACATAAATGCCTGCACACACACATACATATTATAGTGTCATAATATTATACGATCTATCTGCGGCACGTCCATGGCTAGCATGAACATGTGCATCTCTCTCACTGACTACTTCGTCCCGATCAGATTCAGAATTATCAAATAAAGAGTGATCGGACTCCGAGTCCATTAACCTCCAGTACTTCAGCCATATACCTCTGCATTGTCTGTCTGATACATTCTCACTACTCCACTGTTTGAGACGATTGCGATCTGTTTCTCTGATCAAAGAGTTGCGCAATCATTCAGGACATGCGCGCGGGTCTTCCTTACCGTATACCACCTAAAACACGGATACCCGGAAAATTCCGTGTTTGGCGCAGATGCGTTTTTTCATTAAACACGGAAAATTCCGTGTTTGGCGGGGAAAGAGTTAACATGTTTTTTAACTACAATTCACTTTTAATGTTTATCACTTTTCACTACACGTATGGTTTCAAATTAGATGGTAAGATTTAATAAGATTGTAAGCATTTCTGTGTAATGTAAAATTGATTGATCAGCTGACAAGCGAATAGTAGTACAACACCAGGATACTGCAAATAATGCGCTTGACCTATTTGTATTTCTTAACTGTTATAATTGTTCCAAGCCTCACAAATTAACATTTTTTTTTTCAAGTTTAAGACATCAAAACTTTAAACATCAGATGAAAAGTATTGGACATTTGACAGTTTGTCCCACAATTGTGTTAAAATAGTAAAAACAAAAATATCCTCAGGGCTCAACACTAAGCCCCCGCAACAGAAATGAATGAATAAATACAAAATAAACAAATATTTAAGAAATAAGGGTATGACTCCAGTAAAATTTTACAATTC